AGTGTATATGTATGTCTTTTTTAATAGGGAGAAGTTTCATGGTTTTCACAACATGCTCAGAGATTGAGGACCCAAAATTTATTTAAGGCCATGGTCCCAGGTGAATGTAAGGAATAAGCCAGGGATACTGTATTGTCTGTCAGGTCACAGAAGGGAAAAAATAAGGAACCTGGGCTTTTTCAGGAATTACTTCGGTGAGAATGGTTCCAGGTGTCTTGGATAAGCTAGGAGAATGCACTTTTTACAGTTGCTTTTCGCTGCCCATGAAAATCTGCTTATAGTTCTCAAAAAGAAAGGGACGCTCTCTCTGTACGTAGCCAAACAGCTTTTTAGAACCTTGTACCGTTTCAGGGTTCAGCCTGCTTGAGGTGTCCCCAGAGGAGGGGCTATGCGGGAAGCAGAACGCTCTTACCTCTTGAGAATTTGCTTGCCCCGAAAGCAGGAAAGAATCCTGGTGCCTGGCTTTAATCCTCAGGTTGGGGTAAAAATGGCTTAGCTAATGTCAATTTAAATCAATTATGGCTCAAGCAAATTAATGCATGAATGTGGGAAGCAGAACGCTCTTACCTCTTGAGAATTTGCTTGCCCCGAAAGCAGGAAAGAATCCTGCTGCCTGGCTTTAATCCTCAGGTTGGGGTAAAAATGGCTTAGCTAATGTCAATTTAAATCAATTATGGCTCAAGCAAATTAATGCATGAATGTACTTGGGAAACACTAAGTTGTCTGGCAGGCAGCCCTCCAGACATCCAATCTTCTGAAAATGACCTGATATCACATCTATTGTTTTGGGGGGGTTTTTTGGCGGGGTTTTTTTGTGACCGGTAAGGGGATCGCAACCCTTGGCTTGGTGTTGTCAGCACCGCGCTCAGCCAGTGAGCGCACCGGCCAGCCCTATATAGGATCCAAACCTGCGGCCTTGGCGCTCCCAGCGCCGCACTGTCCTGAGTGAGCCACTGGTCCGGCCCACATCTATTGTTTTTTTAATTGGATGTTTTGCTGTGAGGGGAAAAAAAAGTTCTGATTAGTTGGTAGTAGGTCAAAGGCCTACCTTTTCTGGAAACTGCTGAAAAGAACCAGAGAAATTATAGAAGGATTTTAGGAAGAGAGTTAGGGGTCAATAGCAGAAATGAGACCCAGCCAGTGAGCAGTCAGGTGGGGAACTCTGAGATCTGATAGAGGATGAGAAGCAAGCTGGCACCGAAGGCGCTCTCTGCAGTCCAGACCTCTCTACAGAACCTCTCTGAGTGCTGTTGCCCAGGAGCCATGCACAGTTCCGTTCTGTAGCTGCCCAGGCTGGGCCACTCAGCAGTGCTGGACTGTACTCAGAGAGGGCTAGGGCTAGATGCCTATGATTTGCAGCATCTGCAGCACAGCACAGCCGTTTACACAAAGTGTGTATTTAGAAAGTTCCAACATCCCCCAAAATACATACATACATACATTTCTGCAAAATATCTCCTGTCCCAAAGAATCTGCCTTTCCTCTATGGGAGGGGTTCTCAACTTTGGAAACACCTGTAGGATTTTTTTAAAATACCTATATTTGGATCTCATCCCCAGAGATTCTGTTTTAATTGGTAAGGAGAAAGGCCTGGCCACTGGGATTTTAAAAGCCTTCCCTGGTGATTCTCCTATGCAGCAGAGTTTTAAGAACCACCGCTCAAAGTTACAAGTTTTGCTTCTCAAAACTTACAAGAATCACCAGCCCCCTCTACCCCTATGCTCTCTGCAAGAGATTCTGATGCAGTAGAACTGGTATAGTACCCAAGAATCTACATTTTTAATAAGCTCCCCAAACGACCCTGATGCAGAGCATCTTAAAAGTGTGCCTTGGATATCATGAGACCTTTTAGAGGTGTCTCTGTATTAAAATTAATATTACTAATTATTGATAATAATGGGGAGTTCTAGTTAACCGAGTACCCTGCTTTATTGATTGTTGCTGTACATTGCCAATTATAGATTACCATTAAAATGTACTTTATAGGAATTTTAATATCTGGACTATATTCAATACAATTCGATCCTTGAAACAGGAAGCATAAAAGCAATACACAGTAGGTAATCATTTATCTTATCTGTAGTGTGTTTTGACAGTTGCTTTTTTGATTAAATCTTCTGTGTCTGCTGATGCACCTACAGTATTAGAAAAATTCAAGGGAAAGAAAATAATTTTCTTTATGTTGTTTGGTGATGTGGATTTCCAGATACCATGGAAGTTTGTCAAGATAAGTTGTATCACCAAGTGGCTAAGTATGTGGGCAGACTGCATGGGTTCAAATACTAGATACCACCACTGACAACATGGGTATAGAGGGACAAAAATAGCATCTACATCCCAGGATTGCTGGAGGGTGGAATGAGAGAATTCATTTAAGTGCTTACCTAGTGCCTGTCTATCATAGGCAATCAGTTAAGACTATTATGTTATTTATAACTAGATGGTAACATTTTATATAAAAGATTAATTGGTACTTATAAAGAATTTAGGTGTGAGCACCTTTTGTAAAGTTTCTGTGTATCTAAGGAAAAAATTGGACTATGTCCAAACGACTGTCTTTGTTCATCAGGGAATCAAAGCTGTCCTAGCTGAGAGTTATGAGCGCATTCACCGCAGTAACCTGGTCGGAATGGGGGTGATCCCCCTTGAATATCTCCCTGGTGAGAAAGCAGACACCCTGGGACTCACAGGGCGGGAACGATACACTATCATAATCCCAGAAAACCTCAAACCACGAATGAAAGTCCAGGTCAAGGTAAGTCGGAGCTTCTCCATGCCAGGCCCTGCTGAAAGAGGCCCTTCATTTGTAATCAGTCTTGTTAGAAGGAAATTGGTGGAATTGGAAGAAAAAAAAAGTCACCCAGTAGGACTTAAGACTCCTACCACCCTTTTCTACCTGCCTTCACAGCATAGTGAGTGTACCTGTTGATTTCTCATTTGTTTCCCTGTTTATTTATAGAGTTATCATCAGTTCTATTCTTACTTCCCAGTCCCAACCACCCCCACTGTCTCCTATTCCTCCCACTCTCACTAAGCCCAGGGAATCACGATGAAAGCTGAGGGATATGACTGAAAAGACACTTTTTTATTATATAAATGTTAACAACAGACACACTCACCGTGTCCCTGCGCCTCACTGTAGACCCCAGGCTACGAGTAGCCCTATGGTGGAAATGACAGATCCCGAGGCGCGGTGAGGATGAGATGCCCCGAACAAGTATCCCAGGGGTGATTCAGCCACCCAGGCAGAGGCAGCTGCTGAGGTCTGTGTCTCAGGGTGACCAGCCTGGCCAGCCCTCTGAGGAACAACTTCAATGAAACCTCTGCTGACCTGAGACACTTCTGTCCACAGGAAGCTACCAGAGAAGGTTTACAAAATATCATCCCAGTGTCACTAGTAGCTGCTGCCCTGAGAAACTATTTCTGGTTCTCGAGTGCCTCTCACCTCCATCATTTATACTCTGCAGTGTTTTTCAAACAAATTGCAGATCTCTCAGGGATCTCGCCAAAATGCAGATTCTGATTCAATGGGTCTAGGCTGGGGCCAGAGGACTTGCAGGCTCCCATATGCTGCTGGTGTTGCTGGTGCCACACCTTGAGTAGCAGGCTGGAGGGCAGGCTGGGTGGGATCTCCTCCTGCTGTCTAGCCTCCTCCCTTGGTGATTCTTCTCTGCTTCTTTGTCCTTGCAGCTGGATACCGGGAAGACCTTCCAGGCTATCATGAGGTTCGACACCGATGTGGAACTCACTTATTTCCACAATGGGGGCATCCTCAACTACATGATCCGCAAGATGGCCAAGTAGGCCCTCATTTCTTAGGAGACTTGCCCTCAGTGCTGCCCCAAGTGCCTCCACGGTGGGGTACTCCACAGAGGGGTACAGGCCTCTCCCACTGCCTCCACAGAGGGGTTTGTCATCCACACTTTAATATGAGGTTAGCAACACCATGAAAGAGGACAAGTATTATTAGTTCCACTGTACATATCAGAGAGGTAAAATAAGATCTAGTAAGTGGAAGTGCCAGGACTTCAGAGCCAATTTTCTAAACCTAATACTAGAGATTTTTCTAAATTTCTAAGAATTGACATTTGGAATATATGAGATCTCCAGGTCTTAGCAATTTGAAGATCATGGATAAAACCCTTTAAATTCCCTCCCTGTTTGTGTTCTGTCTCTGGAAGCCAGCCTGCCACCTGTTTCTTGGACTGTCATGCTGTGGGCCTGATCTCCAGTGTCCCAGGGCTTCCAGGCTGCATGAGAACCACAGCATTAGGGACATCACCTAAGCTCCACACAGTGGTTTATCTGTCTGAGCTTTGGCTACAGCCCAGCTAGTGCCCCTGTTATGGATTAAAATTGAATCATTTCTTTAAAAAAAAAAATTTAATTGACAAATAAAAATTGTACATATGCACAACATGATGGTTTGAAATATGTATACATTGTGGAATAGCTAACTCGAACAAATTAACATATGCATTACCTCACATACTTGTCATCTTTTGTGGTAAGAACACTTAAAATCTACTCTAAACAGTCTTCAAGAATATAATACATTGTTATTAACTATAGTCACCGTGTTGTATAATCTGTTGAATTCCTCCTGAGGTTTCATATCCTTGACCAATATCTCCCCAACATCCCCCCTTCCAGCCCCTGATAACTTCTGTTCTCTGCTTTTTTGAGTTTGACTTTTTTAGATTCCACATATAAATAAGATTATGCAGTATTTCTCTTTCTGTGCCTGGCTTATTTCACTTAACATAATGAACTCCATGTCATCCATACTGTCGCAAGTGAGAGGATTTTCTTCTTTTTTAAGGCCGAACAGTATTCCATTGTGTATATAAAACACTTTCTTTATCCATTCATCTGTTGATAGGTTGTTTCCATATCTTAGCTATTGTGAATAATGCTTCAGTGAACATGGGAGTGCAGGTATCTCTTCAACATACTGATTTTATTTCCTTTGGATATATACCTAATAGTGGGATTGCTGGATCATATGGTAGTTCTATTCTTAATTTCCACTAACAGTGTGCAGGGGTTCTCTTTTCTCCACCAGCATTTGTTATCATTCATCTTTTTGATAATAGCCATTCTAACAGGTCTAATGTGGTAACTCATTGTGGTTTTAATTTTCAGTTCCCTGGTGATTAGTGATGTTGAGCATTTTCTCATATACATGTTGGCTGTTTGTCTTTTGAAAATGTTTATTTAGGTTCTTTTCCTATTTTTTTTTTTTTTTTTTTTTTTTTTTTTTTTTTTTTTCCGT